AGGTTCTGGTGTAGGGCAAGAGACTTGTTCTTTTGGAGCCTGTCTTGTATCTGTTACTACTGTGGCCAGTTTGACACTGGGGTAGGTTTGATCCCTGGGTCCTTGGGAGCCTGCCTGGAGTCTGGGGCTCTGGGAGTTGGTCTGGCACTAGTTTGGGTCTGGTGCTGAGGTCCATAATGAAGTCGGGTATTCACTTAACTCTCTTCCTCCCACTAAGAATGTGTTGCTCTCTGTGCTGCACTGCCAGAAGTTAGGGGAGGAGTGACAGGGGTAATGTGAAACTCTTTACTCCCTTTATAAGTGCATCTTTTCTTTTTTCTATACTCCACCCAGGTTCTTTAATCCCTCCACTGCAATTGTTAGCTCTTGAGAAGGTATTTTTGTCATGGATAGTTGTTCAAATTGACGTTTCTGTTGGGGAGAACCACTGGAAACACCACCATCTTGCTGATGTCACTACAATCTCAGGCTATTAATATCTAACCTCTGTTGATTGGGAACGTAGATTATTGACTTTCATCTGTATACATTTTATGTGGTTTTCTTTGTTTCAATGTCTATTACCTTTGCAAATAAAATATTTTTATATAAAACACTTAATTTTTTACGGTGAAAGACATACACAAATTAGACCTATACTTAGAAGACAATTGATGAATGGTGTGATAAGACTTAAAAGACCTATAATGGATAAATTATTAGTTTCTAGAATATATAAAACATTCATATATAATAATACAAAAACAATATATTGATAGAAAGATGATCAAAACACAGAGTTCTTATAAGACATAATATAAATGGCCAATAATTATAATAAATTGACTTCGTTATTAATCATGGAAATATAATTCAGTATGAGATGCAATTTTAGTGAATTATATTTGCAACAATTGAAAGTCCATAATCTTCAATTTTAGGAAGGCTGTAATGAATTATTCACTGTCTATGACATTGTAAAGTTTTATATTATTTTAGCGGTATCAAAACTCTAAAGCATACACTCTTTTATTTTTTATTTTTTTCTTTTTTTTATTGTGCAATGACAGTTGTCCTCATTTTCCTTGATTACTCTCCCCAACCCCACCCACCCACACCTCCCACATTCAATCCACCCCCAGCATTGTCTTTGTCCATGGGTCCTTTATACATGTTCTTTGATGACCCTTCCCCTTCTTTGCCCCGTTATCCCTCTTCCAACTCCCCTGTAGTTGTTGTCAGTTTGTTGTTTATTTCCATGTCTCCTGTTTTATTTTGCTCGCTTGTTTTGTTGCTTAGGTCCACTTATTGGTGAGATCATATGGTATTTATCTTTCATCTCCTGGCTTATTTCACTTAGCATAATTCTCTCAGTTCTATCCATACTGTCACAAAGGGTAGGAGTTCCTTTTTTCTTTCTGTTGTGTAGTATTCAACTCTATAAGTGTACTACAGTTTTTTGATCCATTAATTCACTGATGTGCACCTTGGCTGTTTTCGGGACTTGGCTATAGAAAATTGTACTGCTATGGACCTTGGGGTGCATAGGATCTTTTAAATTGGTGTTTTCAGGATTCTTACAGCATAATCTTGGCAGTGGAATTGCCAGATCAAAAGGTAGTCCCATTTTTAGCTTTTTGAGGAAATTCCAAACTGTTCTCCACAGTGACAGCACCAGTCTGCATTCCCACCAGCAGTGTACTAGGTTCCCTTTTCTCCACAACCTCACCAGCACTTGTTGTTTATTGATTTGTTAATGATGGCCACTCTGACTGGTGTAAAGTAGTATCTCATTGTGGTTTTAATTTGCATCTCTCTGATGGCTAGTGATGCTGAGCATCCTTTCATTTGTCTCTGGGCCCTCTATATGTCCTCCCTGGAGTAGTATCTGTTCAGGTCCTTTGCCCATTTTTTAATCAGATTGTTTATCTCCCTGGTGTGGAGTTGTGTGAGTTCTTTATATGTTTTGGAGATCAAACCTTTGTCTGATCTCCATATCAATATATTGGCAAATATATTTTCCCAAAAGGTTGGTTCCCTTTTCATTTTGCTGATGTTTTCTTTAGTGGTGCAGAAGCTTTTTAATTTTATGAAGTCCCATATTTTTATTCTTTCCTTTATGTCCCTTGCTCTAGGGGAAATTTCGTGAAAATATTGCTGTGTGAAATATCTAAAATTTTCCTGCCTATGTTCTCCTGTAGGACTTCTATGGTGTCACAATATATATTTAAGTCTTCTATCCAACTTGAGTTTATTTTTGTATATGGTGTAAGTTGGTAGCCGAGTTTAATTTTTTTTGCATGTAGCTTTCCATATCTCCCAGCACAATTTGTTGAAGAGGGAATTTTTAGTCTATTTTATGCTTCTGCCCCCTTTGTCAAATATTAATTGACCATAGAGACATGGGTTTATTTCTGGACTCTCTATTCTGTTCCATTGATCTATGTGTCTGTTCTTATGCCACTAACAGACTGTTTTGATGACAGTGGCCTTGTAATATAGCTTCATATCAGGTATTAGGTTCATTCCTTCTTTGTTCTTCTTTCTCAAAATTGCTGAGGTTATTTGGGGTTGTTTATGTTTCCATATAAATTTTTGAAATATTTGTTCTATATCTGTGAAATATGCCATTGGTATTTTAATAGGGATTGTGTTGAATCTATAAATTTCTTTGGGTAGTATGGACATTTTGATGATGTTAATTCTTCCCATCCATGAACACAGTATGTGCTTCCATTTATTTGTGTCTTCCTTAATTTCTTTCTTGTGTTGTGTAGTTTTCTGAGTACAGGTCTTTTACCTCCTTGGTTAGGTTTATTCCTAGGTACTTCATTTTTCTTGTTGCTATAGCAAATAGGACGTTTTTTTTCCTGATTTCTGTTTCTGACATTTCATTGTTGGTGTACAAAAATGCCTTTGATTTTTTAATATTGACTTTGTATATGGCTCTTTTACCAAAATCACTCATTAGGTCGAGTAGTTTTTTTGGTGGAGTCTATAAGGTTTTCTATGTATACCATCGTGTCATCTGCAAACAGTCACAGTTTTACTTCCTCCTTTCCAGTTGGTATGCCTTTTTATTTTTCTTGTCTGATTGTTGTGGCTAGAACTTGCAATACTGTGTTGAATAGTAGTGGTGAAAACAGTCACCCTTGTCTTGTTTCTGATCTTAGTGGGAAAGCCTTTAGTTGTTCCCTGTTGAGTATGATGTTTGCTGTAGGTTACTCATATATGGCCTTTATTATGTTGAGGTAAGCTCCCCCTATTCCCACTTTGCTGAGTGTTTTTTATCATAAATGGATGCTGTACCTTATCAAATGCTTTTTCCTCATCTATTGATATGATGATGTGATTTTTATTTTTCCTTTTATGTGATATGTTTATTGATTTGTGAATATTGTACCATCCTTACATCCCTGGAATGAATCCCACTTGATCATGGTGAATGATCTTTTTAATGTATTGCTGGATGCGGTTTGCCATATTCTATTGAGGATTTTAGAGTCTATGTTCATCAGCGATATTGGCCTGTAGTTTTCTTTCTTAGTTGTGTCTTTATCTGGTTTTGGGATTAGAATGATGCTGGCCTCATAAAAAGAGCTTGAGAGTCTTCCTTCCTCTTTAAAATTTTGGAATAGTCTGAGGAGGATAGGGGTTAGCTCTTCCTTAAATGTTTTGTAAAGTTCTCCTGTGAAACCATCTGTCCAGGACTTTTGTGTGCTGGGATTTTTCTGATTACTACTTCAATTTCACTAGCTGTAATCAGTCTGTTCAGGCTTTCTGCTTCTCCTCAATTCAGTTTTGGAAGATTATATTTCTCTAGAAATTTGTAAAGTGTGTACCCTTTGATGCATATTTGATTTATGGAACCTATGGACATACTCCCATATATGAACACAAATGCTTCTTTGTATGCAATAAAAACATTGCAAGATTACTGAATACTTTTAAACAAAGGAATAACTAAATAAACTATCACTTAGAATGGCCCTTGGTATATGTTGTTATATAAGTGTTTTCTGTTGTTTTGTCATTATTATTTTCTGTACCTTGCATTTTAAAGCAGATTGCAAACTTTCTGAAATCGGAGCATTGTTTATGTTTCTTTTTATCTTTAATGGCAAGAATAATGTTTTGTTTGTAATGAATGTTCAGTAAAGTAATTATTAAATTAACCAACTATTAATTGGACACCTGCTATGATACAAAGGCATTCTTCAGGTTTGAGAACATAAAGATGAATAAAACAGAACTTTCGAGAAAATGTATTCTGTTATACAATGTAATGTCATGAGGCAGTTAAAACATTAGGATAGATCTATTTTAAAATAGAAAAATTTAAAACATTGTTAAGTGGTTTAAAACATTGCAGAATAGTGTATATGGTATGATATAATTTATATTCAAAAACCTTTTGTCTAAAACTATATTAAGTACTTTCTCTGTATAGATATAAATAAATAGGAAAAGGTCTAAAAAGAACTGATACTTGAGTTTTCTTCTTGATATAGGATGACTGAAGAAAGACAGAATTGGTGGCAAGAGTAATTTTGTCTCTGTTGTTTGGATTATATGCAGTTAAGTTATACCCATGTATTGTTTGTATATATAAGTAAATATAGATGTTGTAAATAATATGATAATGTGTTCAGGGCTAATGGGAGCAGAATGAGACTAGCGACCAATTATGGAAGCCTAAAAATATCAACACACAGAGGTAGACATACCAACACTTTTCTCAGTGAACAATGTCTAGGATGATGGAAATATCTGGTCTACATGACAGATATAACTTCATGGTGTGGGCAGCTACATCAGTATAAATCATGAAGTCAGTTATCAGCATACTATGACTCTGATTATGTTTAAGAAGAAATGCTCTAGTAATTTTGCTTCCATTGTAATCTGCTTAGAAGAAAAAGTGGGATGTTATCCTCATAACAGATATATCTGATATGTATGATAATTGCATTTCTCAATATATGATAAATAAATTATCCTTCTCATTTTATATCTTTCAGTATTATGATATAATCAGTGTAGTACCATTTCCTGATTTGGATGAATTCTGGGACATGACCAAGATCAGGCTATATGTAGACCTCTAAGATTGAAGACCATGGCCTGGATCGTGGTGAACTCACCAAAGCAAACAATGCCTGTGAGATGGCCCTGCAGCAGCCTATCAGTGTTCTCTTTTGGTGACACCCAGACCTTACTATATAACTTTGAATTTCTATAAATCCATTATGGTCACAATAAATTTGTCTCTCATTGCTGTGTTAGTTTTGTATAACTACTATCAAGTAAATTGTGAATTTTCAGTAAATGTTTCATAATAACTATAAATATAAAATATTACTAAAATTGGTGTCAAAACATGATCTTCCTACAAATGGCCATATACTCATACTTTGTAGTATGAAAATATCAGGAAAGTGTATGTGGGAGGATAAGGGATAATATTTGAAAAAGAATTGTTTCCAGAATATTCTTTTCACTTTACTGTCAATTTTTCTATGATATTTATGTATGTGTTCTTTGATATCCATTATTCTACATCTTAACTGTTTTCCTGGTCAAGATGGTTGGTATGCTTATTATTTGTAATTTTCTACTTCATTTCTAAAACAGATAAATAGAATATCTATCAAAAGCATTAATAAAAATTATGGTGGAAAATACAAGAATCGTAAAACCTTAGTCAGCAATTTTCAGTATTTCATATAGTTCAAAATTTTTCAGAAATGTGATGAAGAATTAAAGTTAATTTTGGGGGGACCTTTACATGAAATTATGCAGTAGAAGTACAATAATTAAACTGTATATTCCTGTGATAGCAATATGTACAGAAGTCAGTGTAACAAGATATAAAAATCCAGAAATAAATATAGGCTTATCTGAGAATTTAAAGATGACATTTCAAAATAGTGGGGAAGGGCTGAATCATTCATTAAATTGCGTTAAGAACATCTAGCTGATCATGTGGGAAAAAATCACATCTCCCTCCTTGTACCATAAATTTAAATGAGACATCAAGTCACAAAAATATTAGAAGGAAACTTTGATAAATATTTGTGGAATGGACATAAACCCATAGATAACAATAATTCAGTCCTTCAAAACTTATTGATTAAATATTTATGATGAGACAAATGCTATACCAAATACTGGGAATATCATGGTAAGACAGCAATCAGTATAACTTAGTCTATCAGGGAGAGCATATCATTAAACAAGTTACAATGTATGGCTGGATCCACATGCTCAAGTTGCCCTCAGACATTTCTCCTTACCTCCTAGGTCAACTTTCCTTTGCTTACTTTATTTTTAGCTAGGTCATCTTTTCATGTTGAGAAAGATGGCACCCCAGCACCTTCAGAATTATATTACATTACGCTCACACATTTAGAAGGAGAGGTGGTCTCTTTTCCATCCCCACATATAACTGGCTCAAAAAATACTTTATTTGACTCTGTTTGAATCATATATCAATTTATGGATGAATCACTATCCACCAGAGTAGGTGCTCCTATTGGACAGTCTAAGACTGTATGCTCATCACAAGAGAGAGAAAGATGAGGCTCCTTGGTTGACAGCCTCACAAGAGTCATACTGAATCAGAGAGGGACAATTCCTAAAATGAAGGGAAATGGGACAGACTGCAAAGTAATATGTCCACTATAAAGGTAAAGAATGGTGAATAATAGCTAGACAGCCCTGACTGCTGTGACTCAAGTTGGTTGGGCGTCATCCCACAAAGCTAAGGTTGCCAGTTAGATTCCCAGTCAGGGCACATGCCTAAGTTGTATGGTCAGTCCCCGGTCAGGGACATGTACAAGAGGCAACTGATTGATGTTTCTCTCTCACATCGAAGTTGCTCTCCCTCCCTTTCTCCTTTCTCTCTAAAAATAACTAAATAAAATCTTTAAAAAATAGTAACTAGGCAAACAGAAGGGGAAAGAGGGTGTCAATCAGAACAGCCATGTGAAAGCCCAAAGGTGAGAAAACATTATATATTTGACAAATTTAAAAAAGTAGATGGAGTGGTGAGAGCTCAAGCAGGAGAAATATGTACAGGAGATCATAAGGAGATATAGTTAAAATTGTGTCACAGAATTTAGACTTTATACCAAAGGTTTTTTATTGTATATAAAATAAAATATACATAAAATAAAATTTACCATTTTAACCATTTTTAAGAGCACATTCACAATTACGTAATGTACCATCATCACCATCACCCATCTCCACAACACTTTCATCTTTTCAAACTGAAACTGTACACATTAATCAACAACTCCTCATTTCTTCCTTCCCCCATCTCCCAAATACCACCAATCTACTTTCTGTTTATATGAATTGAACTACTCTGAGTACCCTGTATTAGTGGATTTATACAATATTTGGGGGGTGTAGCTTATTTTACTTAGCATAGCATCTTCAAACTGTGTTTGTGTTGTAGTGATGTATTAGAATTTCTTTAATTCTAATTGAATTTCTATAGAAATTGAATTTCTATAAATCCATTATGGTCACAATAAATTTGTCTCTCATTGCTGTGTTAGTTTTGTATAACTACTATCAAGTAAATTGTGAATTTTCAGTAAATGTCTCATAATAACTATAAATATAAAATATTACTAAAATTGGTGTCAAAACATGATCTTCCTACAAATGGCCATATACTCATACTTTGTAGTATGAAAATATCAGGAAAGTGTATGTGGGAGGATAAGGGATAATATTTGAAAAAGAATTGTTTCCAGAATATTCTTTTCACTAAAATGCACAGCATAAATTTACTATATTAACCATTTCTAACTATACAATTCAATAGTGTTAAGTAGATTCATACTGTGCAACCTATCCCCTTTTCATCTAGCAAAACTAAAATTCTGTACGCATTAAGCTACTCATTTCCTTCTCCCTCCAGCCACTGGCAGACAGCATTCTACCTTCTGTTTCTTAGTTTGGCTACTCTAATAATTCATATAAGTAGAATCATACGATACTTGTCGTTTTGTAATTGTCCTATTTCACTTAGCATAATGTTCTCAAGGGAGCATGTGATAGGTTTTCCTCCCTTTTTGAATTTTCTTATTTAAAGATTTTTTAGGCCCTTGTCTGGTATGTCTCAGGGGGTTGAGCACTGACCTGCAAACTGAAAGGTCGCTGGTTCAGTTCCCAGTCAGGGCACATGCCTGGGCTGCAGGCGAGGTCCCCCATTGAGGGTGTGCAAGAGGCAAACAATCTATGTTTCTCTCCCTCTTTTTCCCTTCGGTACCCTCTCTCTAAAAATAAATAATAAATAAAATTAAAAAATATTTTTAGAAACATTTTACAGAAAAACTGAGTGTAAATTACAGAGTTCTGTACTTTATATGCATAGACTCCCTCACTATCAACATCACCCACCAGAGTAGTCTATTACAATTGATAAACCTACATTGACCAATTGGAATCACCCAAATTCCACAATTTGCACTAGCTGTTGTTTTATATTCTAAGTGTTTGGACAAATGTATAATGACATATGAACATGATTATAGTATTATACAGGATATATTCACTGCACTAAAAATCATCTCTTTCATCTATTCATTCCCCCACTGTTCACCCCCAGCTGCTGGCAACCAAACCACTGATTTTTTTACTATCTCCATAGTTTTGCCTTTTCCTGAATACCATGTAGTTGGAATCATACAGTACATAGCCTATTCAGATTAGCTTCTTTCAGTTAGTAATGTGCATTTAAACTTCCTCCTAATCTTTCCATGGCTTGATAGCTCATTTATTTTTAATGCTGAATAACATTGCATTATATGAATGTACCACAATTATAAATCCATTCACCTACTAAAAAACAACTTGTTTGCTTCCAAGTTTTGGCAATTATGAATAAAACTGCTATAGACATCCATGTGCAGATTTTTGTGTGAACATGTTTTCATATTTTTTGTTTAAATATGTGCACAATTGCTGGACTGTAGGGTAAGAGTTGGTTTACCTTTGTAAGGAATCACCAGCTGTATTCCAAAAGTGGTTGTACCGTTTTGCATTTTAAACAGCAATGAATGGGAGTTTTTGCTCCATATTCATTGACCATTAGCTATTGTGTGTTCTGGATTTTGGCCATTCTAATAGTTGTGTGGTGGTATCTCATTGTTGCTTGAATTTGTATATCCTTGATGACATGATGTGGAGCATTTTTCCACATGCTTCTTTGCTGTGTATATCATCTTAATGATGTGTCTGTAAAGGTCTTTGGCTCATTTTTAAAATCAGGTTGGTGTTTTTCTTATTGTTGTATTTTAAAAATCCTTTGTATATTTTTGAATAACAGTCCTTTTATGGATATTTTCTCCTCAATCTGTTGCTTGTCTTCTTATTCTCTTGAAACTATCTTTTGCAAAGCAGATGTTTTAAATATTAACAAAGTCCAGCCTATCAATTATCTCTTTCATGAATCATGTTTTTAGTATTGCATCTAAAAAATCATTGTCAAACCCAAGGTCATCTAGCATTTCTCCTGTATGATCTCCTAGGAATTTTACAATTTTGCATTTTACATTTAGGTTTGTGATCTTTGCTGACTTAACTTTTCTGAAGAGTGTAAGTACTGTGTCTAGAATCATTTATTTTTTTGCATGTGGATGTCCAGTTTTTCTGGCACCATTTTTTGAAGAAACTTTCTTGATTCATTGTATTGTATTTGTTCCTTTGTCAAAGATCACTTCCTTATATTTATGTGGATTTATGTCTTGGCTTTTTATTCTGTTCCATTGAGTCATTTGTCTGTTCCTTTGCCAATATCACACTGTATTGATTATTGTAGCTTTATTATAAGTTTTGAAGCCAGGTGGCATCATTCTTTCAACTTTGTTTTTCTTCAAAATTGTGTCGGCTACACTGGGTATTGTGTTTCTCTTTACAAACTTTAGAATCAGTTTGTTGATATACATAAAATAAGTGCCTGGGATTTTGATTGGGATTGCATTGAGTCTATAGGTCAAGATAGGAAGAACTGACATCTTGACAATATTGAGTTTTCCTGTCCATAAGCATGAAATATCTCTTCATTTATTTAGTTCTTGGATTTTATTAGAGTTTTGTAGTATACTTCATATAGATCTTGGACATATTTTGTTAGATTCATACATAAGTATTTTAATTTTTCTGCCTTGTAAATGGTATTCTGTTTTTAATTTTAAATTCCTCATG